ATCCCCTTCCCCCCCCCCCCCCCCCCCCCGCTTATCCCCTCCCCGAGAGCGGGTCCGTTTCTCCTTTGTCTGAAAGTATTACACGGACGGGTTCTTGGTTGTCCAAAGGAGCCCTTCCATTACAGCGCTTGCCTTCCAGGCCTGTTGCTCCTTTTACCCCAAAGGGCACCGTTTCTTGAAAGCATCAGAGAAAGGTGGTGCCGTCGGTCAGCTTTCTGTCGCGTCTGCTCGAGACAAGCTGAAGTTGACTGCCAAAAGTGCTATAAAAGCCCAGGTCAGTGGAGAGCTGTTTTCCGCCCCTTCCTAGGCGCGCCGAGTTCAATGAGCGCCTGAAAAGCTCGTCTCCTGCAAGGGCAAGGAAGCGGTTTGCTGTAGAGCAACAGAGGCGGGGCGAGACTGAGCAACGGTGGCGCCTTTGTTATCACTGGGGTGGAGGGGGGAGACCCGTTAGAAAAGGAGAGGAAGGGCTTTTTTCGTATCTAGAATGAGGGCAAGGGAAAGGTTGGAGCGCAAACCCAGAGTCAGGTATTTTGCTTGGTTCGAGAGAGAGGGGAAAAAACTACGGAAAAGCAAGAAGGCTGTTGTTGAAGCCAACTTGGCAAGCATCCCTGTTGCATATTTCTGCAAAAAAAAAAAAAAAAAAAAAACACACACACACACACACACACACACACACACACGCTGAAAGAAAAGAGAAATAAAACCATTTTATAGTCCCACACAGACCCTGAGCAAGCTGTAACCGGTCCTTTGATGACACCCTTATCTCCTATTTTCATCGACTCTTTTGGCAAATGTGACAAAGAGGGAGATTAATTAATAATTTCAAGTTCAGTTTACAAACGTTGAAGGCCCATAAAAGTTATTCCAGTGATCCAAAATAAAGAGTTCATTAAAGGGATATGTCCAACGTGGTTGATTTGTGATGGGTTACCCTTGTAAAAAAAAGAAGAAGAAGAAAGGGGGAGAGCAGAAAGAAAAGAGAGGGAGCATAAAAAGCATATAATCATTAATGCTAATAAATTAGTGTGCTACACTACAAAGTACTTACTAGATAATATTGATATTTACAACTTGGTATACTTAAATCAAAGATAAAGAAAATACATAATCAAGGTATTTTTTTCCCCAGGACCCAACATTGTTAGACATATTATTGAGTCAGTTAGAATTAATTCAGTAATAAACAAACAAATCAGTCTTGACATTTAAATCCCAAGCACCCAGAATGTAGAGCAAGACTTTTAAATCTCCAGGGTATAACAACAGGTTTACTTTCCAAGAAGGGAGAAAAGGAATTGAGAAATCATTATTTCCGCTCCTAAGAATTTCACTTTTTCTTTTCCCTGGTATTCAAAGAGACCAGATCCCGCTGCCGCTTGGAAATCTGCCTGATTTTCTTCAGTAATTTTGGAATCAGTTGCCCATGGCCTAGTGATAGATCTGTTTCCTCCCCCCCCCCACGAGATTCTAATTAGATACAACCAAAAAAGTTTCTTTTCTTTTCTTTTTTACCTACAGCTGCAGAATAGCACAGGCCACAGAAGTATGAGGTTGCTTCCTGCATGAAGTATGTTGTTCAGCAGGATTTGTCTTGTCTTTTCTCTTTTTTTGGCTCTGTATGGATATAACAATGTTCTTTTTACTGTTAATTTTGAGCTTGAGAAGCAATTCTTTTTGGATGCCACTTCTGAAAGCCTTTCCACAGGCTGGTGAAGAGTGCTCGGGAAAAGGGTAATGCTCTTAACTCTGAAATGCCACTGGGTTTTATGCAATCAGCTGGCAAAACCTGGTCCTTATTTCAAAGTCACAGCTTTCAGGGTCAGGTAGGAGAAGGGGTCATTCTACCCCGGCTGTTTCTCAGCTGTTAGGTCCTTTTCCTGATTACTTGCTGTCCCCAAGATCTTTTGCTATTGGAAGTCATGACAAAATCAGCAACATGAGGGATGGGTGAGAGAGAGAGAGAGAGAGAGAGAGAGAGAGAGAGAGAGAGGAATCAAAGTCCGGTTAAAGGTGCTTAATGTATAATTCAGCTTCCGAAGCAGAGATCAGATGTCTCCCAAGCTATCTGAGACGAATAGGTACCCACGGGAAGGAAAACACTAATGCGCCTTCGGAAGTAAACCGGGATAGCAGCATGTCATGCGTCTAGCAAGAAAATCATTGTGCAGACTTGACCCTGGCACATGCTGGCCGGCCGAGGGTTTCGGAAAAGCCTGCAGGTCTGGAAGATTATCTAATCGAGGGACCTTTCAGGAAGACCCCGAGAGGTTGCGGAGCGGCGCAGACCTGGAGTCAGACCTGCCTGGGCAGAAGGGGGGGGGGCGACATTGCTTCAGACTCGGGAGGAAAGAGAGGAAGGGGCATTCCATTCCATCAGAACGGGTTAATTGAGGGGGGGAATCTGGTGAAAAAGACTACGCACGCCCAGCCCCTTCTTTTGGAAGTTCTCGCTCGATAGTTAGAGAGGCATAAACTGCATTTGAGTCTTTGTGCTTCGGTGTTTTGTTGTTTAAGCCTGAAGACCCAGGGACGATCTGTTGCTTCCCTCGAGATGGCTCCCAAGGAGGGGAAGGAGAAGGCGGGGGGGGAGAGGAAGAGGGCCCGCACTCGCAGCTTGTCAATTTCAACATTTGGTCACGTGAGCAGCGCCTCCCTGCTAAGGAAGGGGAAAGCTTTCCACGTCAGCCTTACGTCTCCCAATTTCTTACTTCACGGCTCAGCTTCCAAGAGCAGCTGCATTAGAGCGTCATGTTAAGCTCGGCTAATGCGGAGAGCCCGAGGTAGCCAGCCCCGTGATGGATTTGGACGAGCGAGTTCCCTGCTCCTCGAATATGTATTTGCCCAGTTGTACTTACTACGTTTCCGGTCCTGACTTCTCGGGCCTCCCTTCCTTCCTGCCCCAGAGCCCGTCTTCTCGCCCCGTGCCCTACTCCTACCCGTCCAACCTGTCCCAGGTCCCGCCGGTGCGAGAAGTGACCTTCCGGGACTATGCCCTGGAGCCGGCCAGTAAGTGGCACCCCCGCAACAGCCTCCCCCACTGCTACTCCGCCGACGAGCTCAGGCACCGCGACTGCCTCCCGCCCGCCGCCGTGGCCGCCGCCGCCAGCCGGGGCGAGATGTTCGGGAAGACCGCGGCCGGCGGCGCCTACCACCACCCGGCCGCCTCCGCCACCGCCGCCGCCGCCGCGGCCTCGTCCAGTTTCTATAGCACGGTGGGCAGGAACGGGGTGCTGCCCCAGGCTTTCGACCAGTTTTTCGAGACCGCCTATGGCCCGGCCGAGAACCACGCGGACTACGCGGGCGACAAGGGCGCCACCGGGGAGAAAATGCCGCCCGGAGGAGCCCCCGCCGCCTCGGGGGCAGCTGCAGCCGCGGTGTCGAGTTCGGAGACGGCCTGCGACCGGGAGGCGGCGGCGGCGGCCGAGAAGGAGAGGCGGAGAAGGGCCGAGAGCAGCAGCAGCCCCGCTTCGTCTTCCGGCAACAACGAAGAGAAATCCAACAGCTCCAGTACGTATAAAGGCAGCGCCCTAGCGCTTTTTATGAACGGGACTTGGAAATCTTAGCGCACCGCCGCTGTTAAATTTTTATATGCTGTTTTATAAGCAGAGAAGGTTTATGAAGGGCCGTTAGATTTCCCCCAACAAAACTTTGTTGTAAAAGGCGAGATCACGTGGCGAGGACTGAAATTGGCCATGAAATGCTTATCCGCCAATGGATGCCTTTTTTCCAAAAAAACAAAAAAAACCCCAAGAACCCAAAACAAAAAACAAAAACCCAACCCCAAACTACCCCCCTCAGGTGGTGTTTTTTCCTTAAATCATTAAACAAAGGACTAAACAGGGAGAGGAGGGGGAGGCTCCTTGTTCAAACTCCCGAAAATATAATGCACGTTTTGAACCTGTAAATTTGTTCTTTGATAGCCATGTAATCCTGTGACTAATACATACACACGCTTACACACATACTATAAAAGTCGTGTGTGTTGCCCCTAAAAGTCTAGTGAGAAACTTGGATTCAAAGCCATCCCAGGGCTTTATGGATTGCGGGAGAATAGTGTCTAAGAGATGAAGCAACTGCCTGCAACGCAGCTATATATATTAAGAGCAACAACTTTAGCTAAAACTAGCTCTTTTGTCTAAAGGAATCAGCTTCTCCTAAGCCACTGTCTGAGTTAAGTGTTGCCTTGTGTCCAACAGTTGGTTCCTTACAACTGTTCTTCAAGCTGTCACAGCTTGATTTTTTTAATGTGCTTTTTTCTCTCTTTGACAACTTCCTTCAAGCACTGAGGGGGGAAAAAGACCTTTCTAACACTGAGCAGTGACAAGAAAAGATGATGGGTTTCTTATTCAAGTGGGAAAAGCCCCAATATTTATATTTAATCCTTTCAAAGTTGAGGAAAGAAAATACAAAGCTCTGCTTTAAGGGAAATTGGGGTGGCTTAAGGAGGCTACATCTAGTGTAGCTGAGATTGGAAGAAAATTTTTGACAGGGCTGGGATTTTGAAAGAATAAAATAGGATGTTCCCTTGGTTAAAACCAATGAACTGGTGGTTATCTGGGTCAGTGAGAAGGCTGTTATTAAAGAGAAAGATATTGCAAAAAACAAACCAAGATTCAGATTTAAAACACGATTAGTACGTACATATAACAGGGCTCTTTTTACTGAATCCCAATCATATAATGGATTGAGGAGTGGAGTAAATACAGAGATAAACATTAAGACTGAGATTTTAATCAGAGGATCCAGAGGTTAATGAGTTCTGGAAGTCCCATGGATTTCAGTGGAACGACTAAGACTGGAGCCAGCCCAATATGTTTTTTTGCTAAGCCTTGATTGTAGAACTCTGGTAAATAACATCTTTCTTTATAAAATAAAATTTTAAAAAACCCTCTGATATATAAAATCTTTCTTGGCAGGAAATATTGCTCAGGGCCAGTTGGGCAGTACACGCGGAGACATTGCCCATTCCCAAGACCACAAAAGCTCCAGTATTAAGCGAACATGTTTAGAGCAGAGCTATAGGTCTATTGTTTGAAGCAAGGCTTCAAAGTGAAGTCTTTTTTGGTTTAAGGCAGCACCTGCAAGTGATTTCCCTAGATAAGGTGAAATTAATATACACAGCTGCTGAGTAAGATCATCACCATAATGACGCTTTCTAATAATGAGCTAAGAGTTTCTTTTTTTAAAAGAGAAACATAGGGACGTCCATTGCTTCAGTATTAGCAGCAGTCCTCCCTCTAGCCACATCTGATTCCAGACTTAATGGCTTCTGCCTTTATGTTTTGTTCCACAGGTGGACAACGCACCCGTAAAAAGAGATGTCCATACACCAAATACCAGATTAGAGAATTAGAAAGGGAATTCTTCTTCAGTGTTTATATAAACAAAGAGAAACGCCTTCAGCTCTCACGAATGCTCAACTTGACCGACCGTCAAGTAAAAATATGGTTCCAAAACAGAAGAATGAAAGAGAAAAAAATTAATAGGGACCGATTGCAGTATTACTCAGCTAATCCACTACTTTAAGCCTGAAACTTGTAGTGTTTTTCAATATGAGATTAAATTCAGATCTCACCCTTGACAAGGTCAAGCCACAGGGTTACTAATAAGGAGGAGGTGTGCAGAGGGTACTAGGACTCTGAAAAACTAAGAGGTTTTTCTGCCCTACCTCCAACATTGACCAAGTGTTTTTGTTGTTGCTGTTTTCTTTTCAACTGCTTTTATACATATTTAAGCATCAAGTGGAATCCATTTAACTCTTGGATCCACCTTTTCAAAAATCCATTGTATCTCTACAACTACAGTCCCTACAACTTCTTCCAACTGGGGTGAGCACATGTGAAAAGCTGAGAGCGAATTCCTGGCTTCGTATTATGGTTGTGGATTGAAAACTATGTTACCTTGGCTTTATTGTGGAAAATCAATGGGAAGACTCCTCAGGGCATCATATATGCTGGAGGACAACTTCAAAAGGAAACCTTCCAAACGCTTGCCGTCTTACTCGGGCAATCCCTGGTCCATCTATCTGTCCCCCTGAATGACAAATTAATATTTCTCCCCACAATTACACACACACCGACAGAGACGATTCCTTTTGAAAGGACTTCAGGTAATAATTTGCCATATATGGTAAGGAAACAATCACTGAGAAGACAAACACGGGTAGCGTGTGAAATAACTCTCATTTTAATTAATAACAATACTGGAGACAAATCATTATGCCCATATTTAAATACTAAAAGGAAAACTTATTTAAACCTGTGTGGGAGGAGAAGAGATGAAAGACTAATATAATAGTTCCAAAATAAGAAAACAAGTTAAAGTGAGACAGAAGTTTCTGGCTTCTGTCTCAGGAACTTTCTCCAGGAAATGTATCTGAAAAAGTGCAGTGGCAAAGATCAGACCACATTTAATTGAACTTTAGATGTGTGCAATGCCCTGAAATCAAAGAATGAAAACCACTAGTATTTCATAAGAAGGCCCAGAAGAAGGCAAAGTTTGTAAATACAGGGAATTTGTTGCCATATCTTGTTGCTCACATTTAGCCTCATATGTCCTACTTAGCTGCTTAGGCGGCAGAGTAAAAAAAAAAAAAAAAGTTCCTTGCAATGTGTGCATGTGTATTTATGCACATACTTAAACACACATGCATATATATTTCTTTGAAGGAACCAAAGAGCGTGTGAGAGGGAAAGAGACATGGTTTTAAGGGAAAAAAAGCTATTTAAAATTCTGTATCAGTTTACAAAGGATATGTATTTTATTGTAAAGGTCACTTGCTGTTGAGAATACCTGAATGTATGTTTCATACGAGGATGGTGTTTTACAAGACTTGTACAATTTAAAATGGTTTTTGTTGCCATTTTTCTAGTATTTTAAGTGTTGTTTCACTTGGAAGGTGTCAGATTTTTCTTTTCTTGTTTAACGTGTATATTGTTACCGAGGCTGTTTTTACGCTGCTTCTAGAATGGATGAAATTTCTTTCATGGCTGATGAATTGCAATACGTTTAGATTCTATCACTGGGGGGGAAAACGTGTATTGTGCTATATGTATATACCGTTTTCTTTGAATATGGGAAAGCTCTTTCTTGCATGAGTACAGTGGAATCGTGCACATTGGAAATAAACATGTGAGAAGTTTACAGTTTTTTAAGATTTATGCTCCACTCATGGATTTTCTTTGACCCAGACTGGAAATCTGAATCGTGAATTTTGAATTAATTGCTTTGGTAGAAATCCCACTCGCCTATTGGTTGTACTGAATCCTGAGATGCCAGGAGATCAAGTCTGGTATTTATGAATGCGTGGGCAGACTGCTGCTGGTACCAGGCCAGGTTTGAATGGATTGCAGAGAAAGGGGCGAGTTATGGGGGGAATCAGCCCTTGAAATAATTGCAGACTATAGACTTGGTTCTTTTGTTCATAGATGTAAAGCACATTGCAAGAGCTCATTTTTTTGGCGTGGGGGGGGCGTGTGTTCTTGTTTGTTCCAGGCACCACTTACCTGAACCCAGAATTGAAAGCTGAAGGGGGCCTCAGACAGAATTCAAAAGTGAAAGCGTGCTGACTGAAATGGGCTTATCTGCCTATATGGGACTTGTTGGAAAAGATGTGTCTCTAAGGGATATCCCTCTGGCGAGCCAGCCAAAAGCGCCGTATGGCATAGACTAGCATTTACACGGGAGCCTGCACTTTGGGTTGTTTGAAACCCCACCCAGTGCCTTTGGGCGGACAGGGGCTCAGCCTTATTTCCTCCTTCCTCCTCGCAATTCATAATTAGAAAAGTACGTATTCTACCCCTCTAGGTTTATTGGCTTTGAACTTCTGTATTGCTTTGGACATCACCCATAAACTTGAGGTGAAGAGCTCTGGACTTCTGCTGACGACCCCCACCCAGCCAGACAGCGTCTGGTCAAAGGAAATGTACGAAGATGGGGAGGGGGAGAGGGGGGAGCTTGCTTGCTTGTTTATTTTGCTAGCATGCTACAAAGGAATGCAACTCTTAAAAGGCAGAGATAGAAAGATAGATGGAGAGAGGCAGACAGACAAGCAGAGAAATAGTGGGGTGGCCATAAACATCCCGCCAGCAACTTCCTTTGCCAGTTAAAAATTAACTGGTTATTCAAGGGCTAGGGTTGAGTCATGGAGTTTGTCTAGTGGTGGAGGGGCAGCTGGTGATTTCCTGACCCAGTAAAAAAAGAAGAAAGGGCAACATCCGAGTGTGTTGCTAGGACAAGCAGTCATAAAAATGCCCACGACGCTTCCATTTGCATAGTGAGAAAGGAAGGGTTATAAGCCAGAGAGAGCTTTCAGGAATCCCTAAACTGTGGAAGGTGATCCGTATTCAGCAGTTGTCTGCGCTACTTTGGTGTTGTGAAGACTGTTTTGAAACTGGCTAGCTGCTCTGCTCTGCTCTGCTCTCCACTGCTCTGCTGACAGGGCTGACAGCCACAAGAGGGCGTTCTTCAGATCAATGTCAAAGCCGCACCAGGAGGGGAGGGGGAGGTATATTCTGGCCTTTGTTCTCCAAACATCCAGGGAGCAGTACATTATATTATTTCACTTTTTCATGATCATATTTGCAAAGAGAAGGTGAATCTGATGGCTCACTCCTTCAGCGGGAACTAAAAAGTTGACCAGAAGTTACTTCAGAAGGTTGCCTTCTTTAGGTCTAGAATACATCAAAGGGTGAGTATCTCTTTGGGACTTAAATTGGGAAATTAAAAAGGAATGAAACAATTGTCAAGATACAGCTGGTGTGTCCTTTAGGACAATTTAGATAAACTCTTGATTTAGCTTTTGTGAGAGGCGGGGAGCTAAATTCTAAAAGTGTGCTAACTTTTCGGGAAGCCGATGAAGCTAATGATTAAATCTACGGTTGTGACTGTGATTTAGAACCTTTTAAAGTTTGAGGTTGAGCTCTTTGAAAGCAACAACAACTTCAGAAAAGGTTCCAGACTGATGTTTGGAGACTAGTCCATGAAGTAGTAAGAATAATTATAAGATAAAATGAATTCCTTTTAAAAACAAATCCGTGGATATTATGAATCTTGAGGTTTATAAGGAAAGAGGTGCTGTCTATCAATTGGATCAATAGCCATGCAGACTGAAAATGGCAGCTCTTTCTGGTGCATTATTGGATTTTGGTTGTGGTTTACTTATTTCAATTTGATTGAGCTCACGTACACAGAGTTGATTAACATCAATATTTATTGTACACCTTTTTCTTAGGGGGTTAAGTTATTCCCCACCACCATCAGGAAAAGTTGGAAATTGAGATAACTAGGTGTCAAGAAAATGTCCCTTCCCCTTAACTCTCATCCCCATTTCATATTGAATCAGGTCTTGAGTAAAGACTGAATTTAAAACAGCTACAGTGATCTATATTTATTGATTTGTAGGAGGTGTAGCCATAATCAAAAAGGAAAATTATGTGAAAAGAAAGTTAATAGCCTAATATTTTAATCATGCTAAACACACTAAGAGTTCAGTGGTGTTAATTTTATTTTATCTTTATAAAAAACTCACTCAGATGTACACTGAAAGGGAAATTATGGCTATATTTATAAAACACAAGGCTCCCTGAACTCACAGGATATGAGTGAATGCTGTGCTTCCCATTTAGTTCAATACACTTTGAGGTGCATAACATTATTTCGATTGGAAGATAAATTCCAAAGAGGAAAACAAGTGTCTCTTGACTTCTGAAGCATTTAGGCAATGAACTTAGGAAGAATTAGATATATACATAGAACTGACGTATGTATGTATATCTATCTATACAATGTAACACGTAGGCTAGATTAGAGGGAACTTTCTTGGTTTCCGAAGGCAAGCATTGAGCTGGTCTTGTCATATGACTACATGTATCAACAGGCAGAGAGAACAGAGACTATTCATTGTGTTCCTTCCAAAGGCCCAACTTTCTGTCAAAAGTCGTCTTGACCTGTGATCTTGATGTTCTTTGGTCCAAGTCATATGATGTATTAAACGGTCTATTCTCGATCACAATCTTTGAAATAGAATTTCTGAAGTCCAGAGTTGAATCTTCAGAGGATGATTATGAGTGGTGAACCACCCTTTGCTGCGAAGTTCTAGGCAAAAGCTTCCATCCAATTCCTTAATTTCTAATCTTGTTAGCAGTTATCACACTCCTTTATACATCCCTGTCTTGGAGTAAGAAATCTTCATTTAAAAAGTGGTGCCTAAATAAGTTAAGGACAAGATGGCTCTTTTAAAGCTTTCTCTCCCCCATCCTAAGATTTCAAAAACTTCTAGATTTGCTGTAACCTTTGGATATTGTAATAGAGATTTTTATTTTTATTTTCTTATGACTGAAAGGCCATCTTGCTTTTTGTACGGTCCACAGAATGAAGACTCTCCCTTCCATTATTTTTTACAGCATTATAATATCTGGCCTTGTCAAAGAAGAAATAAAATATTATATAGTACATATATGCTAGCAAGTCCTTCTTTCCGTTTAATTTAAAATATATATATAAATCAAGAAGACTCCTACAATGCCCCAAGCATTGCCTTTTTTAAAAAAAGATCCTTTAAGGACTTCAGTAAGAAATTTACAGTTTTTCTTTATTTATTTGGGTTAACAAAATAGCACACACTCTTTTCCTCCTATGAGCTGAGACAGACTTTGGAAGAATAAACAAACAAACAAAAAATGCATTTATAATACATTGAGTCCAGAGGTTAGTCATCCTTAAGAGTCTTCAAAGTCAATAAAATTAAAAGCATTCATTACAAACTCACCCCCTTGACTTCAGTGGATCTGCTATATAGTATATAATGTGACACAAACTCATATAAAGCATGCTTTCTCTACATCCTCTTTTAATAATACTGAGTTCATATTTCATTTCCTTGTTCAGTCAGCGCAATGAATTTCCAGTGAAGTAAACCAGCATCAAGGTTGAAGAATTTTTTGACAAGAACACCATCTTAGAAATGCAGACATCCTGATTTTCTTCAGGAATTGTCATTGTCTCTTTATCTCAAATGTCATTTATAGAGGAGGAAAAGTACAAAATGGACTCATCACTTTACCTATAATCTACCTGGCATTGCCTAGACTAAATCTTTTTGAAAGAATGAACCCACTTACGTAGCACTAATACAGAGATCAATACCCTTCTAAATGTCATTTGTGAGTTTAAATGCTAATGGATTTTATTACAAAATGAATCACATGCAGGGTACAAATAATAGAGAAAATACTAAATATTTGTGGAAATAATGACCTAAAGCTATGTGAATTTACTCAGAAATCCCACTGAATTCAAAGGAACTTATTCTCACCTAAATCCTGTTACTGTGTATAAAATTACAGCCATGAATCACTTTCTTACAATCCAGAGGCTCTGGTGTAGATCTCAGAAAGGCCTTCCTTTGAATTTACACCCCACTGAGATGCAAAAAAATAATAGATATTGCACCCCTGCTCCAAAATGTGTTGATTTAGGAAAGATGGTCTTGATTTCAGGCTAATTTTTCTCTGGGTAAATATACGCATTAAAAAAGGCGTTGCCTTAATGTGACAGGGCACACCATTGAACTCAGCAAACCAATTTACAGATCCACATGTTTGGCTTGGCTTTGATTGCAAGGGTGGGATTTTTACCACAAGTAAATCCCATTGATACCAATAGGAAGCCAGATAATTACCAGAAGGTGGGATTTCAGCCAGCCGAACATTCAAGCAGGCAGAAAATCTGCATTTGGAATGCAAATACAAACCATATTTTAAAGGGAATAAATCTCCCAAGCCTGACCTTCACTCACTCTTTTATTTTTCTAATTTTTTTTTAGCCTCTCCTTTTTGCATGACAGATCTTCAAAGAGAAGATGAAAATTATTTTAGTAGTTATTTTTCACCTTCCTTGCACAGAGATACATTCAAACAGCAACAATAATAATAGCCACCTAATGGAAGACAGCCTTTCTGAGAGTTTATCCAGAGGGAAAACTGGCTTGGTAGCAGTTACCTTTTTGACAACTTGATACTTTTAACAGTAAAGAAGAATGCACTGATTGCATTAATTCTATTTATGATTTATGGAATACAGGCGGCAACCATAAATTTGGAAGCAGACGGCTTCAGACTTCAGACTTTTTCTTCTTCCAACTCACTTCCCTCTAAACTCAGTCCTTAAATCTCAATTTGCCCATAACATAAATATAAAGCCCAATTTAATTAGCATACAATGCTGTTTTCCATGATTAACCTTGTTAGACTTTTTCCATCACTCTTGGAAACAATAAGTGGGTAACACCCCCTTCTTTTGCAAATGGAAAAGGAAGGAAGGAAGTGAAAGATCCACCTATCTTTGGTGTTTAACATTTTATTTGTTCTTCTAGTTTTAATTTTTTAGTCTAATTTCAGAAAAATGCCTAACATCTCTATTAGTATGACCATTATATTCTCCTTGATTCAATAAAGATTTGAGTGCCTGCAGTCAGTATGGGTGGGTTCCATCTACTCGCTTGGCTTGTGGAGAATCCAGGTCCTTTTCAGTTCATTGGTAATTCCAGTAAGGTGGCTGCAAACGTGAGCTTGTTGCTTCACTGGTCCAAACCCTTTTAGCTCCACTCGATTGTGGAACTGGCTGGTTGTTTTCTGTTGTTTCCACACACACACACGCACCTCATTTCCCCTTCACCTCCTAGACAAATTTCTTGTCAGGATGAAAATGCAGTGATTTCTCATCGTGTGTTTTACAGAACGGTCCCAAGAAATGCAATCATGCCCTGGTTAATGTCCAAGACACATTGTTAAGTGTTTAAAATGTGGCCACTAAACACAATGCACACCAAAGTAGTTTAGTTGTTCCACAATTGACCATTATCTTTTATAGTTAAGAATCAACTCCACATTATTAGTTTTACTCCACTGGCTTTGATGAGGCAATTTGCTCTTTGCTTGCCTTGGCCTTGTTAGAGATTCAAAAAAGCCCCACAGAGAAATCCAGGCACTTCTCACATGATCCAAAGCCTAAGTCAATGTGCCCCCTTTTATCGTTGACCTCTCTGGGGTTCGGATCAGACCCGAAGTGCCTTGACCATCAAAGCCATGTGTTTGGCTCCTAATACATGCCACAATAAAAGCAACTTGAATGCGAACGAAGGCTGGTTGCTGTTGCCCTATACCTGGGATTAAAGGAACCCACAGCGCACATAAAAGCAATTCCTGAATGTCTCAGGAATACATTGTGAAATGCCACAGCCTTAAAGAAAAGAAAGGGATTTCCATCCTTGCTCATGTCTCTTCTTGCTGCTTTTTCTTGAGCCTGCTGCTGTTGAAGCTTAAAGGCAGAAATGCAGCCTTGTTGGACTGGGCCAGAGATCTGACTGATCTCTCCAATCTTGGGGAATGAGGTGCTCCTGACAAGCTGAGATCCAGGTTGTGGTGGAGCAAGCCTCCCCGAATTACCATCTCCATTTGGAGATACGTATGTTCCTAATTTATCTGAATGCTTAGTCTCATCCCGGCTCGCGCTCTCTTTTTCTTCGTCTGCCAAACGTCGCCATCACCATCAGATAAATTATGTTTTATGTTAACAATCCAGAAAACTCCAAGGTCTCTAGATTCTTGCTCATTTTTTTTAGTTTGGAAATGATACAACACTTGCTGATGTTGCTCTGTTCAGTCCAACAATTCCCTCTTTGCACCTAGGGGTGTGGTTGGTAATGGCCACGATCATGAGATGAGACTATTATTAAACTTGGAAACCATTTTTTGATGGATTTGAAAGTTTGCATCTCATTTCTGTTGGCTTTGACTAAGAGATGAGAAACAGGCCACTCAAAGCAAAGGGGTTTATTTATCTATTTCTTCCTATGACTCCTCTGAGTCGAGCAAGATCTTGGGAAGGAGAAGCTAGACTGGGGTTGAGTCGCACTGCAGTATCTATCTTGCTATTTCTATTCACGGCTATGCTCACCGGTACTAGTTTCCCATATACCAACAAAACAGTTCTCTCTATAGCATTAATTTTGGAAGAAATGATGCCACTCTGGAAGGAATATCTGATAAGGCTTGTTCGCTCCACATTAACAGCTTGTAATGTAGGGAGAGCTGGAGAAATATAAGCAATCTTCCTACAAGGTGTGGGGAGGAATGGAAAAGAGAGAAAAGTATTTCTCTCTTTTACTGAGTCACTCTTTCTGGATAGCTTCCATGGTTCAATTCTGCTAGAAGCCATCTAATGATGAAGCCCTGGTTACAGTTCTTGGATGGTCATGGTGGGAGAGGAGGACTTTAGGGGGAAGGTGAGGGTGAGAGGGGAAGGGGGATTTTGTGCCTCTCCATAAAGATTTTATGGTCCTGCAAAGCTGCAACAACCCCTTCCAGGCTTCGCCTGCACAAACCCAGGAACCTGAGGAGGGCCATCTCTTTCTACTCGCCTTCGGAAAATTCCCACCGGCGAGCCCGCTGCCTTCTTCACACTTCAAAGGGACCTGTCTGCGGGAAAGCTCTTAGGAGAAGAAGGCGATTTCCTCCCCATGGGCCAAGCAAGCCCCGCGAGCGTTGGCAGATCACCATTCTCGCTCCCCGGGTTGGGAAGGGCGAGTTGTTCTGGATAGCTTTGTGTCTCCTATGAAAGCCAAGGGTAAGTACTGCAGATGAGGGCAAGGGTAAGGGAGCCTCCGGGCAAAGCTCGGGCAGAAGGGAAGCCCTCGCCTGGCCTCCTCGGTTTCCTTGCATCCCTAGCATTTTGGAGAGCGTTATGGGCGAAGACGTGGAGGCCAAAACGGAACCGAGCAAAAGATTTACTGCACAATATTGAATTGTTCAAAAGAATATTTCTTACTCGCTTGGGAACTGAGACAGGCGATCAGTTACGTGCTACCAGCTGGGGCGGCTTGGAGCAGGACAAGCTAAAACACGAATTGGTAACCTTTTCATGTTACACAAAGAGAAGAACATTTAAAAGGAAGCCTTCCAAGAGATGTCACGAGCTCTTGAGAGTTGTTCTTGCTCCAGACCTTGTTTGCATGACTTCCAAACAGCATCAGAAGCCAGGCAAGCGAGAAGCATGGAGTCTTCCCGTGCTTCTTCATTATAAAATCCATCTCCCTTGTCTGCTGGTCTCCCTCTCTTGTCTGCTGGCTGTCGACTCCCTCCGTCACAGTTATATATTGAGTGTACAGTATTGTCTAGCAGTTTCACTATTGCCATTTCTGGATGAAAGGTCTTCTGTTAAAAAAGGGGAGGGGTCCCTCTTATCTAAATGCAGATATTTAGAAAGAATTGTACATTATTTCTTAATTTAGGGTGCGTACTCTCGAAAAATCCTTAATCTGAGCCGGGGCTTCTGGAGAAAAGAAGTGTTAAGATGTTCTACCAGATTTTGCTGCTTTTCTTTTTGATGAAACGTTTTTGTTAGGCTTGTAACTTGGAATTCTGGCTTAGTGAACAGTTACAGACTGAATCGCCTTAAAACCTAAAACTCTTCATCTTGCTGCTGGGGTGGTAATTCTATAGAGGATGCTTGTGCTGTGATATTTTTGCTAAGCGGGGATGAACTGCCCCTCCTATGCAGAGGTATTGAGAAGTAAAGCTCTCGATTCCTATTTTTTAATGTAACGTGCGTAGGACGAGAGAGAGAGAGAGAAACACAGGTGTGAGAATTGTCCGCATTGCTGCAGCTGGTATCTTAAGGAGTCGTGTGTGTGTGTGTGTGGGGGGGGGGTGTCTTCTCGATGTCGGTAAGCCTTGGCTGCTAATGGGAACTCGGATCGGGCTCCCAACTTGCAGCGGCCAGACTGAGGTGGTCACCGCGCCCAGTGTAACGCCTAGGCGAGCCACGAGAGGTACCGGACGCTTGCCCCAGATAGTGAGCCTGTCCGAGCCTCCGAAATGTCAAGGCGGTCACGAGTTGTGCAAAGAGCTGGTGAAGCGGATGGGATGAGAAAAGGCTGAACGGTTCGCTTACAGGTGGCTTGGTGATGTACAGGTCGTAATAATCTGCTCGCGCCTTTGCTGTGTTATATTAGTGCATATGCTAATAGTCCAGAACGCGCTAAATTATGAGTCCCACTAAAATCCGGCAATGTTTTCTCTTGTTTTCCTCCTCCCTCCACCTCGCCCTTCGTTGTATAACCCCACACATGTTTCGCCCCCTCTCTGAGAACTAGCAAAGGCAGCCTTGTGAAGACATGACCATCTACGCGTGGAATACCCCCACACTTGCATGTATGCATATATGCACACACACATACATATTTTCATCAGTATATCATACTTTCAAATCGATACGCACACATACCCATGCACGCACCCCTCCATACACATCTACAAGTACCCGCACGCACGCACGCACGCACACGCGCCATTCAGACGTGGACAGGAGAGCAGCTCAGCGCCTACGAAACCAAACTGGGAGGGGTTGCGAGCGAGGGCTGGGTTTCCATTGGCTGCACGCAGCCGCCGTGGCGCGGGGGTATCTCTCATCATATTCAGCATGTTTTGCACAAGAAATGTCAGCCAGGAAGGGCTCTCTGCTCTCTTCGCCAAATTATTCCACGGAAATGGCATGTTCGGAGACCCCAGCTGCAAACGCCTTTTTGGTGGACTCTTTGATCAGCTCAGCCTCAGGCAGAGGGGAAGGAGGGGGAGGCTGTGGCGGTGGAGGCGGCGGCGGAGTTGCAGTAGGAGGAGGAGGAAGAGGCGGCGGCGGCG